CCTCAAGTATGAAACGGAGGTTCCCAGTACTTTGACTACACAAGTTTTTTATTAGGCAAGGTTTCTACGGGCAATGTGATGAACGTCGGCAAGTGGCTAGGTTAACCTGGGACAGCAGGCCAGTCAGCCTCACGACTTGCCCAGGGAGTCTGCTACCGGCGTCAACCCAGGATGTTAAAAGTCGGGGATTTTGGTTTTCTTCTCATCGGTCATGATCGGTGGAGAATTTCTGCACCCATGAAAAGCAGCCTGCCCCGGTCGGGCATGGCCAGACTGTTATTCTACCTTTGATGGACTGGCTTTGCCAGCCATGATATGTTGGACTAATTGCCCTCCTTTGGGAGGTTTGTTAAAATTGGAATGATACAGAGAAGAGTAGCATGACCCCTGCACAAGGATGGCATGCATCTGTATGTCAATAGTTTGTGGGTGTACCAGCTGAGCCAACTGAGCTAGGTCGACAAATGGTCCAAATTTTTAAAGAAAAGAGAAGGGGGGGGCGTGGTGGGGGGAACAAAAAGTTAGACTTATTCCTGTGTTGATGGTCGGTTTGGGATCGTACGACAGGTCTGAGCCTCTTGCCCTTGTACGCTAGCGATTCGGTCCAAAATTTTTAAAGAAAAGAGAAGGGGGGGGCGGGGGGGGGAACAAAAAGTTAGACTGAGCCTCTTGCCCTTGTACGCTAGCGATTTGGTCCAAAATGACACAAACTGTCGCACACCTTTCTGGCATCTTGGTGGTTTGATTGATGGGCAAACAGTTCCAAGGCGTGGTATTCACACTTCATAGGCACACTTATTGTGTGTCCCTTCTGTGTATCAGATTAGTTGAGCTTGTTCGGAGAGAGTTGTTGTGCATTTCCAGTGTGTGTGTGCAAACTTTGCACATGTGGCATGGTCTCACCTTTTGACGTCAAAAGACTCGTATGATTCGTATCTGCTTTTGCAATGACAGACACAATAATGTTCTGCCAAAGTGGCGGTGGTTTCTGTCCTCATCCTTTCCATCTGTCCTTGGGTTGAAATGCAGGTGCTGAATTTTCCTTATCCGACTCCTCCTGATCGTGGCTTGCTGTCTGCTGCTGAGAAGTCTCTGATGGTTTTGTCAGCACTTACCCCGGGGGCAGGCCTCCTAACTCCTATTGGTCGAGCTATGGCAGTATACCCAATCAGCCCTCGACACTCTCGCATGCTTGTGGCAGCGATGACAGCGTTACGGCACCAGCCTGTGGTCGCTTCGAAAGCTCAATCTAAAGTGGCACAGAAAGCGAAGGTCTGTCTCGCGTACGTTTTGGCTATTGCTGCAGGTCTGAGTCTTGAGAGTCCATTCTTATGGGCCGGAGATAGCGAGGGTGACGGTGAAAAGCGGCAGGTTGAACAGAACCTTTCGGGTGGGCAGGGGGCAGATGGAAGGACGCAAGGCCAGGAAGGTGTTGGGATGACGCTGGAGGCCGGGCAGGCACAGGGTGATGAGAAGAAGGATGACGATTGGATGTTGCAGCAAGCCAAAGAGAAGAGGACAGCAGCGAGGAAAGCTGCAGCGATTGCTCGTGCTCAGTTTTCCAACCCAACAAGTGATGTGCTGACAGTTGTTAATGCTCTGAGAGAATATGAGAAGGCGGAGAAAAGGGAGGAGTTCTGCACGGCAGCTTTCCTTCACTTGAAGACAATGGAGGAGATGGTTATGCTCCGTAAGCAGCTTGTGAGGATTGCTGTGCGGCAATGGGAACAGCAGAAAGAAGAAGACGAATGCACAGACGCAGCAGTTTGGCTGGATCTGAGAGAAGAGGACCTAGAACTTGAAGGTACATTGGACACGAAGGGCGAAGAGGTCGTGAGGAGAGCAATCTGTGCCGGTTGGGCAGATCGTGTGGCAAGACGTTTACATCCGGGGAAAAATGCGAAGCTTGATTCGAAAAACGGTGGAGAGGAGGAGGCACACGATAAGCGACGACGAGCTGTACGGTATCAAGCATGTTCCTTAGATGAGACAGCATATTTGCACCCATCATCATCAGTTGCAAAGGAAGCGCCTGATTGGGTAGTGTACAGCGACATCATGGTCACGTCAAGACCGTACATGAGGGGAGTGACTGCGGTGAATTCAAGATGGCTTGCGACGGAGGCACCCGCAATGTGCACATTTCCGAAGCCACTTGACGATCCTCCGCCATGGTATGCAGCCGAGGAGGACAAGGTCAAGTGTTGGGTCGTCCCAACTTTTGGTCCTCATCTTTGGGAATTACCACCACATGGAATTGAAATGAAGGCAGGGAGGGAGAGGGTGTCTGTGTTTGCCAAGGCATTGCTCGAGGGGAAGGTGTTCCCGAGCATGAAAGAGTTGACGAATTGCCTCGTTGCCGACCCCGCGCTGATCCTTAAAAAGGAGGGAGCGGGGCATGTCAGGGTAGGGGAGCTCTTATCCGCGATGGGCTGTAGGATCCTGGCAAAAGGAGCAGCAGCGGCAATACACAGAGTGGACAGCAGGTCGAAGCTACTCCCACGGCTATCGAGTGACCCATCGTTCCTGCGTAACGAGTTAGTTATGTGGGTAAGGGAACACGAGCGGGGTAGATTGGAGAGAATATGGGGCGAGATCGCACGGCAGGCACGAGCATCAGCCGAACCTGATCGCAGTGACCGGAAGGATGTCAGATCTACAGCAGGCTTTGGAAGTTCTAGTCATCAGGCGGCGGACGGCTCTGTTCGGAAGGGGAGGAATGATAATACACGCTGCAAACAGGATGGCTCTGATCATGAGATGGGTGCAGTAGGATTTAACAGCCCAGAGAAGACAACGGTTAAGCTGTCAGAGGTCACCCTAGCACAGCAGCAGCATTTCAGAGGCACCGAACAAGAGATGGACCTGGCGGAAGTCCGCGGTTCTGAGATGAAGAGGGTGAAGCTGTCAGAGGTAATCCACAGACTGCAGCATTTCAGAGGTTCTGGCGGGAAGAGGGTGGAGCTGTCAGGACGCGTCCAGGCAAAGAAGCATTTCAGATTCGCAAAGCAAATTATGATGAACGAGCTTAGGCGAAAATGTCATAAGCGGCCTATCAGGCCTGTGGAGCAGAAGTGAGCAGCTAGGGTAAGCTCAAGTGTTTTCTTACCACAACTGCTTCTGTATTTCTTCTTCCTTGCATGTTGATATGCTGGCAAATTTGATCATCAAATCAGATCACGCCGTTGTTATAGCAAGGCTAGGCAATGAAGAGTAGGTGGTCTCCTTGGTCTACATGGTCTCTGCCAGAATTCTTTTTTTTTTCTTTAAAAATTTGGACCATTTCTCGATTTATGCGTGTCATCCTTGAAAGCGCAGGGGCCATGCTAATCTTCTCTGTATCGTTCCAATTTTAACGGATGTCCCGAAGGACATCTCTGCCAGAATTCTATAGACTAAACAAACGGCCCTTTGGTAGAGGAAGTTCTGGCATACGTTGCAGATAAGGAGGGTTCGTGCAGGAAATTGCCACACAGCACTAGAAATTTGAGAATGCCTTACTGTTTCAAAGTCAGGGTTGCCTCCAGTTTCTTTCTCAACGGCGTCGCCACTGAAAGTTCGACCACCTCCTGCTTCTTTTCTATATCAAGTTTCGGCCTGTCCCTGTTGTCGCCCATATTGCTGCTTTCCTGTGTGCTATTATCCAGTGCTGGTCCCCGGGCAGCCCGGCTGGGGGGAGTTTGCCCAGGCACCCACCGAGGCAGGCTTGGCCAGGCAGGGTCCGGGCAGGGTCCCAGGCAGTCTCAGCGCATAATATTTGAAAAACAAAACATAAAAAATAAACTTCGAAGTTCAGATTCCAAAGCTAAAAAAAAAATCAGAAAGAAACGAACAAACAGGTGGTGTAAATTGATGGGACCCGTGATGGCCGTTGGCTCAGTGGTGAGAGCACCGGTTGGAAATGCGCATTGTGGTTTGAGGCTGCGGGCTCAAAACTCCGTTGCCGTGCGCACGTACACCGGCAGCGCTTTCATATCGGACAAGCCATTCACACACTCCCCTTGGACTGACACATGGTAATTATTACAGCACTGCCTGCGCAGCCCCCACGGGGTTCAGTCCATGGTTGTAATCTGCTGGTAGGAGGGCTTTGGGGTAGGGCTGTTTGAGTGGTTGGCCTTGGGGTGGTCTGAAGAGTGTATTGCGGGGGGGGGGGGGGGGGGTTGTGTGTAGTGTGTGATCCTGTGATCTCTGGGTCATGTCTCGTGTACTCACCGTGGGTGGGATAGAGGAGGTAGGCTGGGTAGAGGTCTTAGATCTAGATTGGGTTAGGTAGGAATTTGTGTAGAGAATGTGAGCCTCTCTGTGCACCGCCTCGTTTGTATGCACTGCTCTGTGGGTGTGTCATGGGTGTGTCTGGGTACTGTAGTTGTTTCCTGGGCTCGTGATACACCAGCAAGAGTCCATGCTTATACCATGCTGCGGGCTGGGCTTCGTCCAGGCTGGTATCTGTCTGCGTCCCCATTGAGGGGGTCGATTGGGGTGTGAATCTGGGGAAGGGTCTCTTGCTAGGGGTCTCATCTTAGGCAGGGGAGGGTGGGTGGTCGCATTGATAGTAGAAGAGTGGTAGACACCCATAGAGTCTGCTAGGTGTGATACAGGTGGGGAGTGCAATCAGACTGTCTTGATTCAGCTCGCAACATGCATACATGTAGGTGCCGATGGCAACACAACTTCGTCAACGCAGAATCAGCAACAACCTTGCAATGGCGCACTGCGCCCACACAGAAAACTCAGAGATATGGCCGAAGGCCAGGAACTCATCTGAAGTCAACTTGTCACACCTAGCGGCTATGGCCGCTGAGCACTGGTCTGAATTCCCCCTCGAACACTGTCTCTACCATCAGCCACTCTCACGCAACTCACACGCACATGCACACACGCATAGGATCTACAGTGAATGTCCACGCACACCCACTCACTACACTCCATCTGCTGATGTCAACACCTGGGTGGCTAATACTGGCTATGGCTACCGTCGTCGTCCTCCTCCACTAGCGGCTATGGCCGCTCGCCCTCTTCCTCGTCGGGAACCTGCAGACCTCCAACGCACAAGTCACATAAGCAGCGCTTCCGCATGGCTCACAGTCAGATGAATGAATGGCTGGGCGCTGCCTCTTTGTTTATACTGTTTCGTCGGTAGTCTGGCCTGCCTCCGGTCCCAGGCCCAAGAAGTGTACAGCCCCACCTGGTACTTGCTAACTGGACAAGGTGGACTGGAACTCTAGACTGAGAAGCGGTTAATGGAAGGCCGAAAATTCGGCGAATTTTGGTGAATTTTTCACGGAAACTGCCATATTTCCCTGAATTTTTTACTTTTTTCTTGGTTTTTCTTTTTGCATGATATGTATGTGCTTTAGGGTATATCTGTATTCAGTTTCGCCGTATTTGGACCAATAGCAAAAACGCTGGACTGGAAGAAAGATTCGGCGAACTCCGAAAGCTACTCTGAATAGTGTCTTATAGTGCTGTTGAGTTTTTTTTTTTTTTTTTTTTTTTGCTTTCCATTAGCCGCTAGTGACTGGGACTGCTGACTAAGCTAAGCAATGACTAGACTCTACCTTGCTGACTCAGCTACGACGACTGACTCCTACAGCTCCGAAGAGCCAAGTGGCTACTTCTAGCAACTCCTAGGCTACGACTGGCTGACCCTTAGCTATACGTAGGGCTAGGCTACACTGGACTGACCCTTAGGACTGCTGACCTATAGGTCTACGGTTCAAGTCCACACAACCCTACTACCGACACCAACTGCAGCTATATGTTTTGAGGGACAGGTCTTGGGTTCAAGGCACACAGGGTCCACTAGGGATCGAGCCCCGGGATCTGCAATGTTGCGCGAACTGAGTGAAACCGAGAAACCAAGCATGTTTTTACAACAAAAAGGGGGGAGAACGAGAAAGGGGGCCAGCCTAACCCTTGTGGCACTAAGCCGCCTGGCAAGGGGGGCACTGCTACGGGGTGTCCCACCCTCCAGACCATGGCCTTTCTTAGGAGGCTGGCTTCCCTGCTCGCCGGGAGGTTTACTAGCAGCACCCAGTCACGCAGCAGGGCAATCTCCAGAAGGACGAGGCGCAGGGTGGCTTCTCAGCAGGTCCTCCTCAGTCCGCATGTCATCTTGCCATCACCATGCCTCTGTCTCCTACGTTCTCTCCTTATCTGTACGGTTTCTACCTCCATACTGCTCGTTCCCTAGTCCTGTGTGCCTCCGTCGCACTGCTTGTCTAACCCCTATCATCCAAAATTTCCAAATGTTTTCTTGACCTTTGTGTGCACTGCAAGTCTGCAACGCACGCTAACAACGGATGATGTTTGCTCCTTTTCATTTGTGAAAATGTTTTGCAATTTTTGTTCAACCTTTTCACACAGTATGGAGGTGATGGCGGTTTTCAAGAGTGGCAAGAAGCCGAGGAAGAAGGACCCTATGAAGAAATGGAAAAGGAAAAAGACGGGACTCACTCGGTAAGGCAAGAGCGGCGAAATTAGAAAGGCAATTGGCCAAGAAGGGTGCAAATGTGAAAGCATCCAAATGAACTTTCTAATCGTTGTATAATAATAGATCCGGGCAGTTTGCTCCAATCAGCAGCAGCTAACAGAGCTGAGTGGGCCTGAAGGCCCTGATGAAGGTATCTCAGTACAAAGCAGCGTTGGTTTTTTGCTCCGATCTCTACGCTCCGATATTTCTTACCTATTTCCTTTCCTCCTCTCTTCTCTCTCCATCTCTTTATATTACTCTCTTTTTTTTTAATTCGAGTTTTTTGACATGATTGATCTCTTTGCAAGATGTGTGTACCACCTTTTTCTTTTCCTCTCTTTTTCAAGTTTTTCTCTTTTTCTCTCTCTCCCTATCTCCCTTTTTTTCTCTCTTTTCCTCTCTTTCTCTCTCTTTCTCTCTCTTTCTCTCTCTTTTTCTCTCTTTTTCTCTCTTTTTTCTCACAATATTTCACTGTTTCAACTTCCAAATTCATTTACTTGCATTTGCGGTTGAAACAGTGAATCTGGATCCTTTTGTCTCCTTGCCTGTTTTCCGTAGATAGAGACAGAAAATAAACCCCCAAAGCATACTCACATAAGACCTTTTTTTACCAAAGCTAGCTGTGGTCAAAATGATAGACAACGGGGCAAATTACGACGAAGAAAGTTCTTGTCCAAGACTCCCAAGTGTCTGTCCCCTCTATCATTACAGGGAAATGTTCCCCTCGAGTCCTGGAAAAAAAAAGCAAAAAAAAAAGGGAAATTTGTCTGGCGCCTCTGTAATTTCCATAATTTTGTGTGGTGCCCCTCCGACGGCCGACTTACCCTGTCGTGGCCCTGGGGCCTCTGAACTTTTCTTTCCGTGGTGGCCCTACTGGACCGCCAGTCCCATTTCCCGGTTCCCTGCGGCGATATGCCCTCGTGAGCGGCATGCATCTTTCCATCATGCCCTCGCACTGGAAATTCGGATTTGAAGAACACAGTTTTTGTGGCGCTGCCACAAAAAAAATGACGGTGTGCGTGTGTGTGTGTGTGTGTGTGTGTGTGTGTGTGTGTGTGTGTGTGTGTGTG